CCGACCTCTGGAACCCACAGAGCACATGCTACATGACCCCAGCGGTCATCATCGGTCCTCTTCAGGGCTCCGCCTCGGTTTGGACAGAACACACACTCAGCTGGTCGCGACGGGCACTGCAGGCAGTGCCTGCACAGCCACTGGCCCTCTGGGATGTACGGCACGCCGTAGCACTCCTGGTGCACGGCGATGTTGCACGAGTCACAGAAGAGGATAACATTACTGTCAGCTCCATCTCCGTCCATGCAGATGCAGCAGACAGCGTCCTCATCCACCAGTGACTGCAGGTCACTCTGACCCTGCGTGGCCATATACGACTCCTTCTCAAAGCGGTCCATGAGAAACTCAAACAGATTGTGTGACACCTGGCTGACGCCCTCGCTCTTCCTCTTCTCGTTGATTAGCTCCAGCCAGGCATAGTCCTCCTCGTCCATGTCGTACTCCACCTCCTCGTCCAGCTCCTCTTCTGTCCTCTCCATATATTTGTAATAAGCCGCAGGCCTCTTTGGCACCACCGGCAGATTGTATTCAACCGTTCTGACCTTTGGCTCCAACAGGCCACTGGCATTGCCGTGTGTGCCTATGCCACCATGTGCGGCAGTGAGCGCTGCATTCTTCTTCTGCTGGTTGTTTTTGAGGCGCACAGAGCGCACCAGGACCTGCTGGGGCTTCTCGTTGTTCTCCTTGTTGCTGTTGCACTCCATGATCTCCTGAGCCGTGGGTCGTCATCACTGATGACGTCCAGCTTGTCGTAGATGCTGAGCCGGTGCACACGGCCGTCCACCTCCAGCTCCACTATTCGCTGAGCCTCTGCATATGTCAGCGTCTCCCGGTTGGGGGAAGGCTTGATTGGAGAAGAATCTCTCTTCAGCACCGCCGGGCGGTGATGCCGACCCTTTTTCTTCATTTTGAAAGACTCTAAAAACCAAAGGAAAAAAACAATGTCACTGATGTAATGTAGCAGCAACTTGCTTTAATGATTTACAGCCTTTCCCCCTCAACGCTGCCTCACAGGAATGATATATGGCAATATTTCTACTAGTAGACCACTGACTGCTTTTTTTCCAAGAGATTCTTTTACTGAAAATAAGAATCTAACTTCCACCAAAAACAAACACTGTGAATGCTGATCAATCAAGAATGCATTTAGCTTCATGCACTTACTGTAAGAGCAACATAGACTAAGAATCAGTGTGTAACACTAATGCAGATCGTGTCACATGTTACAGCTAAGGCTTTTGTTGGCCCCACAAATATCTGCCAACATATTTGGTATGCTGATTATGTCTGACTACATTAGGGCTGTGTGCGGAGTTTTGTTATTCATACCAAAACCAAGACTCTGGCCCGTGTCTTGTGTGTGAAATAGAGGTATTTGCTTGTAGGTTTAAAGAAAAAAGGACAACTGCTTTATCGCATAAATGCTTTGCATTTTACTTAAAAATTGAATCAATTTGTTTTTAACACCATAATTTGTCATCAGTCTATTTAACTATCTGCTGAGTCAAAGACCATAATTACATTGCTTTAATAGTTTGTAGTCATATTTACATCCCAATTGTTTTCGCATGTTGAAGACGATCCACATATTGCCCTAACCTACAAACAGTATGCAGCAACCAGTTAGTTGTTGTGTTTATAATGTGCTTTCTGTGTAACTCTACCCTAAATAATGACACATTGATGCTTACTTACTTTTCTTTGGTACGTTGTCTATATCTGTATCCTTCTGTAAATGTAGGTGTACAAAAACCATGTTCCATATTGCTAACACACGCAAAGCAAGTATTTAAATTAAATTAATCAATAATTATAAAATAAAGAAGCATGGGACACCAGATAGTTAATCTAAAGAATCGTTGGAATTTTGCTGAGGAAATATTTTAAACAATTGAGTCAACAATCATGTTATTGAACTGTTAGACATCATCCTTGTTAATGTATCATTTAAAATGAATGGATTCTATCACTCTTCTGTTGTAAACAAAACAGGAAAGTTAATGCAATTACAGCTGTATCCTCACAGGAACAGATGGGACACGAAGATCAGCTAAAAGCTTTAAATGAGGAAGACCCTGCGTCTCTCTGTGTGCAGTTTAGTTTTTAAAGTGTTTTCAGTTGGCTGTTCAGTGTAACAAGAGTTGTCATTACACCATAATTTTATGCATCTATGATACAAGTAAAGATCGAACAAAATCAACACCTTTTTTCCATACCACCACATCAACAAAAATAGACAAGTCCTAGGCGCTAATATCGATCGCAATGGCATCATTATTGAAATATGAGCTTTCTCCAATAAACACATTGCAAAATTCTGAATTAACAGCAATAAATAAAAATCATATTATAGTTAAAGACATTATTATTATTCACTCGTGTTTGCATTATAAACCTTTTAGATGGAGGCCCGGGTGTCATGGTCATGCTTCAAAAACATGTTGATGCAGTTATAAGAAGCTGAAGCAAACTATCAGCTACCCTCAGATGAAATAATACCAACTTAGTGATAAAAAAATAAAAAAATAAAAAGATTTTTGCCTTCAGGAGAAATGTGTTGCAAACAGGTTTTGTGAAAACCTGAAGAACAGCTGACAGGACGAAAACTGTAAATATTATGCATTCTTTCATACTTCACTTACCCCACACTTCATTTCCTTATAACATCTTGAACAAAGTTATAACACATGGTACAACTTCCTAATGGCATGCAAGCCTTAGATTTACATAAAACTGCTATTATCAGGTTTGACTTTCTCTATTTTCTTGCAGATATTAAATATATCACAGTGTAAATATTTGCCACTATAGTGCAGCTTTAAAAAAAAAACATGTAGTTTTTTTTTTTTTAAAGCTTTGATCATTTTCAGTTGTGCTGTTCGTTAAAATAACCGAGAATGTATCGTTTTAAAAAAACCGGTATGAAAATGAAACTATTGACAAAATGTTGACAACATTAAATGTAACACCGTCAAGGGGGGGCGGAAACGGACTGCGCTTGCGTTACGTCGACTTTGATGAATGAAACAAATGTGCCGAGGGCAGCGCACCGACACGCCGACAAGAGCGAGCCCTCGGTCCGCTCCGTGAGTCCGCCTGGAGCCGCTGAGAGCCGCTTGTTGTCGAGTCTCCTCGGCGTCTCCATAACTCTGTTCAATGGTTCCTGCTAGCTGAGGCTAATGTTAGCTTAAATCAACCGGACCCCCATCGTTCATCTCTGTTGTGAAATGTGTCTCTGTCAAAGCGATATGCCAACGTAATGTCTGAACTGCCCGTCGATGCCCTCCGGTCGGGCGGCGACTTCCCGGGGCTTCAGCTGCACACATTAGGACACTCCGTCCACAAACCGGGCTGACTGAGGGGGGAGGAAACATGGCGACCAGCACAACAAGAACCTGTTTCCACTGAATATCTGGCTTTTCCTCGTCGTAGTTTGAGTTGTTTCGGGATTGAAGCATAGCCACGCTTACAGGGCGTGATATTAAAAAGGTTAGGGCCGAGTTGAGGCTGAACTTACCTCGGTATTTTCACGATTTCAGCGTATAAATCCAGCAGCAATGGCGTAATGTCTGAACTGCCCGTCGATGCCCTCCGGTCGGGCGGCGACTTCCCGGGGCTTCAGCTGCACACATTAGGACACTCCGTCCACAAACCGGGCTGACTGAGGGGGGAGGAAACATGGCGACCAGCACAACAAGAACCTGTTTCCACTGAATATCTGGCTTTTCCTCGTCGTAGTTTGAGTTGTTTCGGGATTGAAGCATAGCCACGCTTACAGGAGTGATATTAAAAAGGTTAGGGCCGAGTTGAGGCTGAACTTACCTCGGTATTTTCACGATTTCAGCGTATAAATCCAGCAGCAATGGCGGCGCGGCCTGTGGAGCGAAGCGGCAGTTAAATCCACATTCAGTCCGCTCATCCAACGGCGGCCGCGGCTCGCGCTGAACCGAGTGAAACGTACAGGTGACTGACAGGTATCCAGGGCGACGGGACCGGTTTCGGTTGTTATACGGTGTTCAGAATGAATGAAAAACACGGATCGATGTTACTGTTTGAAAGCAGTTAGAAGTGGCAGCGCTGCCCGAGCTTCTCTTCCCCCAACAACAATGCGGTTGTGTGAGTCTTTACGTCGTGACGTCATCGCGTATAGAAGGAAACCAGGAAGTGGAGGTGCTTTTTTTTGGGTTCTTGGGGCTTCTTTAGTGGAAAACACAAACGGGTTGATGTCTGAATATTGCTGACCATGCTAACGTAGGAGGGTGAACACGGGTGATGCAGCAGGACATGAACAGAGTGTTCATAATATAAAACAATAACATTGGAAAATCATTAACTTCTGTCTGTGTAGATTCATTAACTTCAAGTCACTTAGAGAAAGAAGTGAAGCTTGAAGCTCTCCACAAAACTGTCAATATCACTTGTTGGTCTGTATTCAGTATATGTAGCCTTCTTTGTCTTGTCATATACATTTGTGATGCACTTTTTGTGGATATCATTATGGATGATGGAGGAAATCAGCATGATCCTATCCTCATTATTATTAGTAGTATTTTTGCACCAGTGTGAGAACACAGCTACACACTCACACATAACCAGGTAACCTCATATATTCACATTGAATGCTTTTGGTTTGATTGTTGTTGTTACTGTGTTGATTATAAATTATTATATTCACATATTTGTGTACAAATTATTTTACATGTATGTCAATTGTGGTTTTTTTTTTTATATACATCTTGTTGATATTTTGATTATTTTAACAAATGAGCTAGTTTAGTTTTCTGCCTTTCCCTGCACTGCATATTGACTTTTTATATTTTTATTGTGCAAATAAACATATATACACAAAATGCAGATCAATTGTAAAATGAGTTAGGAACAGAAATAAAAACAATCATTAAAAAATAAATTGCTTTGGTCTAGAATATGGTCAACAGCTCTGACATGTTATAACATAACTGCAAAATTCAGCAGCAACACTAGGGGGCAGCACTCCGGGAGATTTTATGTTCTTAGTTTTATTAATGTAAGTAAACCACAATGTCGTTTTTTCCTCCCAAGAAATTACTTTCATTTTCAAATATAAAATGTGAACCTCTGATTCCTGACGGCTCCGTCACCAAACACTCCCCATTAAACCAGAGGAAATGATAAAAACATACGACTGATTGATAAAAACTGAGGTCCACTGCATGTAAAGCGTTGCTGAGGAGACAGACAGGATGAAGGAAGAAACAGGTTACACATGCTTCTAGTCTTTGTACTAAGCTGGATTGTGCTGGATCCACATCCACCATCTCATAGGCCAGAAAGAAGTCTTTCCCTTGGTCCAAGAAGATTCCCTGTGTTTGTTCCACAGATCAGGACAGTCAGAGGGATCAGGTGGACTCAGTTTGTTGCTCTGTCTCATCTTGACTCTGATTGGGAAAGCAGACGGAGCATCCTCTCTGGAAAGCAGGTTGTTTTTGCGGAGGTGGCAGGCCTGTTGGTAGGGGGGCCGTATGGGCGGCTGGGTGGGTGGGGTGTACTGATACTGTTTACCCGCTTCCAGCTATAGAAAGAAAACAGAAAAGCTTACCACAACTGTGAGATTGAGTTTGTACAAAGCTAAAAATAAAAAAAATGAGTTTTTCCAATTAAACAAAAATGTTTGCTCAAACAGGCCGTTTGGAGATTTTCCCTTCATGACATCACAAAGGGCAGTAACCCCTCCCCCAGGTTGGTGACACTCCCACAGCTGCGCACGTGAACACTAGACACTTTTTTTTCAAGTTTTTGCTTTGGTTCTCATCGTGGTCTAAATTATTTTCTGCTCCCTTTTAAGGGATTTTCAAATGAATTTGTAAAACTTGGGAACAACCTCAGGCATTGCTAGCTTCCGCTGTGATGTCATAACAAAATGTATCACCTTATTAACCCCTGACACTCCAGTTTAAATACAGGGTTTTTCCTGGCTCAGAATGGGCCTTTGGGGGGCGACTACGCGCTGTGGTAAACGTTCGACCCACTTATTACAGTATAGTTTATGAGTCTGTATTACCTTATTTGACAGAAATCTGTGCATTTCCTGTTATTTCTGACCATTTTATAAATAATATTATCATTATGCTTAATTTACTGAAACCCCAATTAAATCTGGTAAAGATTTTTTTTATTGCAACAGTGAATCATGGGAGGAGAGGGATTTTGAGGGAGAGGGGTGCAATGAGATTGAGAGAGGGGAGGTCACATCCTGCCAGTGCATTTCACCCTCTTCCTATGATGGCTGCTCTTTTCCTTTAAATTGTGTTTTAGTTTTACATAGCCTACACATTTGTTTAAGTACATTTATTTGAGTTGCTAAAGTATTATGTCAAATAATCACAGTCACAGATAATTAGGATCGATGATCGGATCAGGAAATTGAGAAATTATAAAAATATATTTGCTGGCTATAACGCAGCGCTTTTTGACAGTCTGTGTGAAGTTCACATACAGCTGGCTGACGTTACGATCGTTAAGTTATTGATTGTTGATAAAAGCAGACACGGTGGAAGTGAACTAAGAAAAGTTGAACGTGCGTTCCCGACTCGGTCCATAAGGATAGTGGATCAACCGTGTTCTGTTGCACATTTACACTACAAGTAAACAGGTGCGCGCTGTGGTTGGCGCTCCGGTGTGTGTGTGTGCGTTTGCAGCCATGTATGTTGGTGAGTCTCGTCTCGGCGTGCCCCCGCGATGACCCGTCTGCAGACAGCAGAGGAGCAGGGACAAGTAGTAGTAGTAGTAACATGAATGTTGGGATAAATATTTACCGCCATGAAGTGGATTGCTCTTTGAAATTAACTCGCTAAACAGAAAATCAACCCGCATTCAGCGCTTGTGGCTGTCAGCAGAGCGTCCTGCACCAGTCAAAAGAAACAAACAGTCAATCAGCTGGCTATCCAGCGCGAGCTGCATGTGTAAACGGATGAGAGGGGAGATGACTGCTAGAAGTCAGAGACGTCGCATTTAGGTTTATGTTTTGCTTGTTAAACAGTCGTTTGATGTATTGAAGATTTGATTTGCAATTTAAATCGTCTTTTTTTTTTCTTTTGGCGCTCATGATTTTCCTTTGCCGCTGGGTAAAACCTCTTTGGGGGGCGCCAAAGAATTCTCTATGCAGGAAAAATCCTGAAATACCTTCATTAAAGCAGAATCGACTCTGTTTTATAGTGAAAATCAAGAAAACAAGAAGCCCTCAAACTGAAACAGGAAAGACAACTGATGACACATTAAGAATGATTCTGTTTGTCTCAGTAATGAGCAGCAGGATCAGCCCGGCTCTGCTCACCTGTAGAGGGTAGGTTCTGTCCGAGTCGAAGGCGCTGAGGTCGCCACACGCCAGGAAGGGAACGATGACACGGTTTGGCCCCTCTAACTGGTTAAAATCCACATCTGAAGGACAGAGACCAGACTGAGATGATACACTTTAGATAAATGGCTGTGTATCTGAAGCTACTCTTTACCTTTAACTCAAATTTATCTGTAACTTAGTAGTAAAAGTGAAACAGGCTAATTTTTTCATGAGCGATGCGGTTACCGTAGCAATGGTCGAGCAGAGGGTTGGACATGTTGGGGACGTAACCTTCAGGAGGAGAGTAATTCTGACACACCACGAAGGCCTCTGCAAACAGACAGAGAAACTGGATGAAAGGAGTTCATGAAAACATCAAAAGTACAGATATAAACTATAAAAAATAAAAAAAAGAGGGGGGAAATGAACTAAATTTGAGATATTTTGTTAAAAAATCCTACATGTGTTACAAGTTATAAAATCACAGTCAGATATTCTCAGTGAGGAGATTCCATGTTGCCCTTTACTGTGACTACTAAATGACAATTCCCAGGTCCCTAAGTCTGTATATGGGAAAATAATTTGGTTCTCTGGCCGAACTGTGCAAATAAAATCCTGGAAGGACGGTGGAAACCACCACAAACACGGTCATTAAATCACTGCTGTTAGATATATTGTCCTTAGAACTCTGTTGCAAGGTCTCATGGTGCAAAGCTCTCTCAGCTGTAGAATCTCTTGTCAGCAGAAGGAAAGGATAAATGGGGAGGGGTGGCAGGGTGGGGGGAGTCACTCACCAGATAAACGAGGGGTTGGCATTAGGCTGTTTATATTGTACATTTGCACTTACGGAAACCCACGAGGACATACATGATGCATTTGAATTTTCTACACAGATGAAGATACATATCTGCAAACTGCTTGCTCCAAGTTAAGTTGTGCATTTATTTTGACTCAGGGGATTGATGATTGAGCGTTGACCATGCTCACCAATGCTGGAGTTCCTGCTGCTGCGAGGCTTGGCGCAGGTCACACCACTGAAGAAGATCTTCAGCTGGGAGTACAGCAGAGTCACGTCTTTTCCTCTGAAGATCTGAGACACACAGGGCAGGGCGGGGTTAAATAAAAAGAAGGTATGACCTGAAGTAGTCCACGGCCCACAATGCACCACAGAATGAGATTTTTTATGCTTTGATACCAATCAAAACATATATACATTTTGTTTAGGGGGTTTTATTTTCTTAAAGTTCACATATTATCCTCCTTTTCATAAAGTTGAAAATAAGTCCTCAGAGCTCCACAAAACATGTGTGCGAAGTTTCTTGTTCCAAAGTCCACCCCGATCCTGTGTTTGATCATGCCTATAAACTCCTCTATTTCAGCCCTGCTCAGAACAGGCTGTTTCTGTGTCTGTAGCTTTAAATATGTAAATGAGCTGTGTTTGACCACGCCCCATCTCTGGAAGGGTTTGGGTGGCTCAGGCTTTATGGTGAGAAGGCAGACTCAGAGGGCAGAACAAACACCTAGCTGTGGGAGTGTCACCCACCTGGGGGAGGGGTTACTGCCCTTTGTGATGTCATGAAGGGAAAATCTCCAAACGGCCTGTTTGAGCACACATTTTCTGAAAAGTGGAGCAGGCAGAAGACGAGAGGATGGACTTTACTCATCATTGGGGGGCTTGTAGACAAACTAGAGACACATATTAGTGTTAAATCTAATGGAAATATAATGACTCTAATTAGAATCGGTTTTTTTGTTATGATTTTTGCTAACGGACATGTTTCAAAACTACACAGATTTTTATCATCCACATCGACTCAGATGAATAACAGTTGGACTCACTTTAGCCACAAACGTGCCTCCAGGTTTCAGGACGTGTGTTGTGATGTTCAGAGCCTGAGAGAGACAAACAAACAGCTGTCATCGTGACATCACAGACAAACAGGTGAATAAGCAAACACCTCTTTACTCACAGCCAATAGGAGCTGAGCCTGGATGTACTCATCCACATCGTGTAGACCGGTAACTATGGAGACAGAACAGGATGTTGTCCTTACAACTGAATGCATGAGTCTTGACAGGGACAGAGGAAAGATTAAAACCCAGGATAGGACAGACAGAAAATGAGCGCCTCACCATCCGGAGCTCCGTCACACACCACCAGGTCGGCCGGCTGACCCTCAAAGTGACGGATGATCTCCTGAGCTGTCGACACCTGACAGGAGGAAAAACAGATTCATGTCGGATTTAAGTTATTTAAAAGGCAACAACATTGTAGCCCTATTCAGACTGTGTTTCATGTTGTGATATTCACGCAATCTGAATGTTGCAGAGGTGTAGTGATTCCCCCCCCTCTGTACCGTCTTCAAAGGTAGTAACAGAGGCGTTACAGAAGCAAGACGATAACAGCAGAGCCAGCTGGGGTGTGTGTATGTCTAACAGTGTGTGTATGTGGAGCTCCCACTGTGCCGTGCTTGGAATTAAATCACAGGGACACCAGGAATCTGTATGAATCTACAAAGGCGGGATGATGACTGAGTCTAGTTACGGCACTTTCGGGGAAAAAGGAGGCTTCTGTTTATCATCTTTTGTGGAGGAGAATGAAGTTCTCCACTTTTACTAGGAGTTTGCTGACACTAAAATGAAGACTTTTTCCTTTAAAAAAAGAAAGCATGTCTCCCTGCTGCTTTCAGATGTAGTAGATAAAGATCTGAGTTACATGTGTATTCATGTTGTCCTCACCTTGGTGATGTCTCCCTGAATCTGAGTGACTCCTGGCAGAGGAGCCATGGCCTGCAGGTCCACTGCCACGATCTTCACCTCCTCGTCTCCCTCACCCTTCACACCCTTCTCCTCCTCCCCTCTGAGAAGAAGAAAAAAACAAAAAAAAACAATTCACGAAACAAAATGTGGAACTGTAACTAGGAGCTTCAATCCAAAGAAAACCGGTTTGTAGGAAGTGTACCTGAGTTTCCGACTGAGGACCTGACTCCAACTGCCAGGTGCTGCACACAGATCCACCGCTCTGTTCACACCTTAAAGACAAAGTAGCTCTTACTAATTAACCTTTGACAAATCAGACATTAAAGAGCCAGAGAGAGGCAGAGATAGATACAACAACAAAAAAGGAAACCCAAACAAGATGAAGATGTCAGGGAGCCCATTGTCCAGTAACCTATGAATGAACAGTGGGTATAAACAGTGCCTTATCTCAGGTGTGTCATTACACTCACCTGAGAACAGGTTGAACTCTTCGTCAAGCTGCAGTAGCTTGAAGGCGCTCCGTGCCCTCCAGCCCTCCTCTTTGGCCAGACGATAGTAAATATCCCGCTTGTCTTTGGAGGAGCGACCCATCCTGACTTCTGGAGGAAAACACACACATACAAACACACACGTCAAAAATACATTTAACCTGAATTATTCAAGTATTTCAGATTTTAAGTGATAAAAAAATAAGTTTTTCGGATAACTTGCTGTTTTATGATAATAATAGTTTTAATGTAAAGAGGATCACCTGTACATATTAGTCTTTGCTTATTTGTTTATTATTGTGTCTATTGTTGATATTTAATGTTATACCTTTGGACAAAGAGAGCACAGTTTACCAAAGTAAATTTCCTTGTGTTTAAGCCATAGACTGTAAGGTTTAAGCATACCTGGCCAAAAAAGCTGATTCTGATTCTGATCACCACCAAATCACGCCCATTAAACCATATTACAACCAAACTAAGGTCAACACTAAACGATGTTCAAAATGAATGTTTGGCTGTATTATGTTGGCCGAATTGAAGAGGGCATTGTCCTGAATCTTAAAATGTTCTTGTTGAACACTACTGACATGCTGCAGATGGACTAATCTAGCCTTGAATATTTTTTAAATTGAGTTCGGCATAGAGAGGACAACAAACGCGTCATTTCGTGGCTGCCTGAGCCTTTTTTATTTAGGTCAGTTAATAACTCTGGGTTGAATATAAACACATGTTAAAAAAAAAATAACAACATATCAAATTTAAGAAGGCTTTATGAACCATTTAAACACTACAACACGTACCGTAAGCGTGCTGCTCCGGTGTTGACGATGGAAGGACCCCCTGAGTGTCTACAGCTGTCCGGGCGGTGCCTGATCAAAATGAAGTTGCCAAACCAGCTTAAATGTTGAAAAGAAAATAAAGATGTGAAAAGAATTATTTACGGAGATTGTCTCATATATAAAAATGTATTTCAAACAAATGTATGACTCAAAAAAAGGATGCTGCTACATTTCTTTTCATACGGAGGAAATACCAAATGGGATGCGATACAACGACGGCCACACGGTGTCGCTGCAGAAAGTTTAACATCCCTCATTAAACTTGACGAGAGGCATTTAATCATGAACTAGAGCAGGGGTCCCAAACTTTTCGGTCCCTACACCACTAAAATAACAGTGCTTGCACAAATATGCATATCCAAACACTGGCATTAGAGCAACACAAAGGGATTAAGCACGAAAAACCATCAAATTATCTTCATTATTTAGCTAAAAAAGTCATCTTCATTTATAGACTTTGTGACTAAATGGACCAACACACTAAGCAGACACAGAAGCAACATGTGAGAGCAACAGACACCTAAATTATTGCTGTCATGTGCAAAAATACATTTTAAGGATTTTTAATGTATTACTTTGATTTCAGCATAAATCTAAATGTTTAATTTTAAAGCATTTTATATTTCATTTTTGACTCCCCTCTGAATGTCTGGCGCCCCCCAGGTGTTTCTCCTGCTGCTTCATCAGCAGTGTATGAAATAATAATAATAATAATAATAATAAATTAGATTTATATAGCGCTTTTTTTCTTCTGATCAACTCTTTACACAGAAGCCTCTACCATAATTGTGTGAATGTGTAGGTGTGACCTGCAGTCTAAAAAGAGCTGAATAGTCAGAAGGCTCAAGTCCATTTAATAAATGTCTTGTGAAGGCGGAGCAGATCATACGAGGTTGTTCTTCTTTCTGCTCCTTTTCATCCAAGGTGCAGGTTTTCATGATTGTATTTCATTGCTCTGTTTGGTCGATGCATTAAATAAACTTTGTATATTTAAAAAAATAGAAATGAAGAAAAGCAGAGGCCACACAGGAAATCAAATTATATACAAAAGTTTTAATTTGAAATTTCTCCATGAAAAACAAAATACTTTTTTTTCTCTGAGAATTATTTACAACACCAGAACATGAAACATACAAACGGATGATCTGAGAACAAACTGTAAATCTGATGTCAGAAAAACCAGAACAAACCTCGTCCTCATGAGAAACTATAAAAAAAATTAAAAAAAACACTTGGAACAGGAGACATGTTGAATAAATAACCACAGAGGGGATGTCTCTTCTCCAAATAAATACAGAGATATATAAAATAAATATACCGGTATATATAAAATACATACAAGAAAGACATTTTTGCATTGAATGTGCGTTTCACACCCAGAGACGGACAGCTGGAGGGACTCGGATTTTCAGAACAAAAGTAGTGAGACACATTGAAACAATTGAGACACATGGGACCGCCGTTTTTTGAGGGGGGTTTAAACTGACTGGACTCAAGAATGATCTGAAGCATTGAAGCGGTCTCAAAACTGAAACTCAGGTACCTTGTCTAAACATTTAACATTTCAAGGGAGAGAAGAGAAAACGGTGAACAAGAACGTAGCTGGAAGTTCAGCCATGAAGGGTCAGGTCAACAGCAGCACCAGTGAGAAGAGATAACAGTCAGACTTACTGCTTAAATAAGACCTTTTCTGAATTTTAAATCAGGAGAGCACGTGTTCGTTCTCAAAAACATCAAAAGAAAAAAAAAAAAAAAAAAAAAAAGGAGTCAGGACAGAAACTTGAGACTCCACAGAGTAAACATCTTTTGGTATCCGAGCAGAGTCGTATGTGGCCTCCTGAGGCGGACTCCACAAAGGTGTGTGTGTGTGTGTGTGTGTGTCTTTAAGAGTGTAGATTGTGTGTTTTCAAGTATCCCACTTTGTCAGCAGGTGAGGGTCGGGGTGCGTTGGGAGGCCGAAGTCGGTTCCTCACAGGACAGTTTTTAAACATACACGTCGGTTGATCTTTTTGGCAGTTGTTCAAGTAAGCTGAAAAAGAAGTTGCAGCTTCTCTGTTCTTATCAGAAGTTCTTACAGTTCGGTCTGAATTCGCCAAAGAAAAGATAGCTCTCTTTTATTCTGAAAACCCAGAGCACCATGTTTCTCTCCCTCCTCGGGGCGAACCACACCTTTCTCAAAGTAATGTCTGAACTGAGTTGCGGGCGTCCCCACTTGACGAGGCCAGATGTTGACTTGAAAGAAATGGTGGAACATAAACGCCCTGTGAGGTTTACGTTGGTGCTCATCAATGTTTGTTTTTTTTAAAATAGGGAAACGAGCTTCATTGTAATGATCAACAGTTTCAAAAAGTACAGAAACTTTGAAAAAACAAAAAAATCTTCAGTTACAGTTGACTGAATTGCACAGAGCCTCAGCACCGATCTGTTGAAAATGGGTTTTTTTTGTAATTTAGACCGTTTGCAGAAGTTTACCTGCATTTCTTTAGTAATATAAAAAAAATAAAAACAGTAAAATGACCCAGTAATGGGTGCCTAACACGTTTTATTGTTGTCATGGTATCAAAACAGCTATATCGTTTAAATTTTACCAGAATGGACTCGGGAGTTTCAAAAAATTGGTACTTCGACAACCCTAGAACAAGCCCTGACATGAGGTTCGTTGCCATGGCAAAGCTTCACCGCACAATGTTTTTAATCTTAAGGCACTCTGAGGTGTGATGAGGCTCTATAAGAGCTACTCGCTTCGATCACATCTCGAGACGACCAGCGTTCCCAAGCAAACTCATCAAACACCACCAGAGGAGGGCTGTCAATCAAGTCCATGCCTCGCCCTCTGGAAGCCTCCGTTTGACCAATCAGACGCTCTGCTGGCCAGAGGAGGAGGAGGAGGAAGAGGATGCAGAGGAGGAGTCAGCTGTGATGGAGTGGAGCGTGATGCTGTTGTTGTCCGTCTTCTGTCCAGCGCTGCCCGTCACCCACGGGTGGAGGAGGATCTGCTCCACGGTCGGCCTGTCAGACGGCCGCTGGCTGAGACACCATCCAATCAGCTGCTGGCACTCTGTGACACAAACAGAGAGACGATGAAAAACCATGAGACTAAAGAAATCTTCCATTTGATCCTGTTATATCTCTGTTTTAAGAGCCCCCTCCTCTTCTCCTCTAACTCCTCCTCTTTGTTCTTACCTGAGGAGACTTGTTCTCTGAAGCAGACCCGTCCTCTCAGGATCTCCTCGTCCTGTTCGAAGGGGATGTCCCCACACACCATGTCATACAGCAACACGCCGAGCGACCACACGGTGGCTGAGCGACCGTGGTACCTGCGAAACCGGATCCACTCTGGAGGACTATAAACCCGCGTTCCTGCAGGGAGTAGAGTGGGGGCGTACGTTTAGAAAAAGGTAAACATTTTGTGCTGTGTACACTGCTCAAAAACATTTCCCAGGATGCAACAGCTGTCATGAAAGACGCACAAATGTACAGTGAGTCTGTAAACGGTCAGTTGTGACAGATCACCATCATGCTATTTGATAATGATGCAATTCTATTTCTGCATATTTCATAGATCCAAGAAAGATATCGGCCAATTTGATCGGTATCTGACTCCTCCTCCCCCCCCGCCAAAAAAAACCCCATACCCGTCAGATTCTCAGACTCACCATCAAACTCTGTGTAGGCGGTCTCTTTGAGGTGGGCTCCCGAGCCGAAGTCGATGAGTTTGATGTGTCCCGTCCTCAGGTCCACCAGCAGGTTCTCGTCTTTGATGTCTCGGTGGATGACGCCGCAGGTGTAGCAGTGACGCACGGCCTCCAGCACCTGCAGGAAGAAGCCGCGCGCCTCCGCCTCGTCCAGGGCGCCGCGCTCTGTGATGTAATCGAACAGGTCCTGCCCCTGCTCGAGACGCTCCATCACCAGCAGCCAGCCGTCCGACCGCTCCCACCAGTCCAACAGACGCACAACGCCGCCGAACGCCCCGCCCACCTTCTTCAACAGCACGATCTCAAGAGGGACCACCACGCCACACTGAAGATATCAGAAGAGGGATTACAAATGTGTCCACTTTCGCGTTCAAACATTTTTTTTTTTTTTTTTAAATCAAACTTTCTATTTTTTGGGGAAAATCTCCCAAATTATTTGATTCCAGTCTCTAAAGTGAGGATAGTGCTGCTGCTCTTCACTGAAAACATCTGAACTTTGGGCTGTTGATCAGACACAAAACAACACATTTGTGTGTGTCATTACACAGATTTTGCAAGTCTGACAAATTAACTAACCAGGAGGGAAAGACCTGATTACACAGCTAAGAAGAGCATCTTCTCTTAAAGTCTTTCCCCTAAATGTGTCCCGTCCAGCAGAGTATAAACAGCCTCTGTTAAAAACAAGCTTGACTTAAGGGAGTTGGGATTGTTATGAAATCAACATTAGCCTCAGAAGAGAAGCAGATTTTATCATTTCAACTGGCCAACATAGTTACTGCATTTTGAGTGAACTATTTCTTATTCCTAAACAGTGTTGGGGGGTTATGCGTTACAAAGCAATGCACCAGTGTACTCAGATTACTTTTTTTGTAATCTGAGTTACAAAAAATATCTGAGATAAAAAGTTATATAACACATTGGTTTTGCAATTCAAGTAATCAGCTATTCAAAGTTACATTTTCAAATAAGCAATTTTACTTTAAAATCCCTTATTCCCTCTTTATATTGCCACAAAAAGAGAAATCCCTGATGCATTTGCAATGTTTGAATCCTGTGGTTAGGTCATTTCACATGTAGCTCAGGCTGAGCAATCACAGGGGTCTTAGACATGGGTATACACTATGGAGACTGAAAAATAAGTGGGTATACTCCATACACCCTTCACTACACCACTGTATAAAATATCTAATTATAGAGAGATGGCATGACACAAGTTAAAAATCCACTTTAAGATTGATGTAAATAGTGCATTAATAATCTCACCAGAGAGCCCCACTCAGTCACCCTCTCCCTGCACACATGCTTCACCGCCACCTGTGAGACAACAAAACAACACTGTGAACATACAGATTTAATACATGATGAATACTTTGTTAAAAAGGTAGGGACCTTAATGCTCCTTCAGAAAACAAACAGAACATTGAAGTATTGGATTCAATTATCTGTGATAGTCCAGTACAGTACAAGAAGCCTTTTTGTTTGTTGCCCTGGCCTATGAAGGTTTTTCTTAGTTGACGACTTGAGAGGATTTTCGCAACAGTTTTGGTGCCCGCACTGAAAATGTAATTTATTTTAAAACCGCTTCTTGCTCCCCACGTGTCAAAAACAAAAACAGGATTTTTTTCTCCCTTCACAATAAAAAAAGAGATCAAAGCGGCATTGACTTTTGTTCTTTGTGAAAACAAAGACCACATGCCAGACAGCACTGAGGTGTGTCAAGCTGGCCAGCTGACACAAATGAGACAGGAAGTACAGAGCATAGACACTGCCTTCCAAAATAAAAGCACACATTTAAAACAAGCAGGTGTTCGGCTCATGATGAAAAGGGCAATGTGCAACAAATCAATGAAGTTTAAGCCGTACATAACAGCTCAGTTTCTGTGTCTTTCTGCTGCTCTTGAAGTTTGACACAATTTGAGTGTTTGCCACATGAATCCAGAAGCTTTTTTCCCTGCCACTTCAATGACCTTAATTAAACTGACGGTAGGTGAGGACTTGCTTAAACTTTTCAGTCTGCATCAAACTTGTTTGAAAGCATGGCCCACATCCAAAAGGGAATTTAATGTACACTGAATGAGAGCGTTACTTAATTTTCTCACTAATTGTACTAAATTACAAATACGGATGCACATATGCACCACACATGAAGCAATTACAAAGTAAAATAGATCAAATTAACAATTAGAAGTTTATTTATATTAAGAGGACAATGTCCAAATACACTGCCCTAAAAGTTTATTATGCATTTATTTATTTATTATGCAAATTACAATTCTCATCTCTTCTAAGACTGACGGGTGTTGAATATTGACTTATTATCGTATATGTAATCATGTTATTTAAACGTAATAAAACTACTTCTTGTAGCAACACTAAAAAGAAGATTGATCTAATGCGGCTTTTATTTTTGAAGTATTGACAGGAAGTGTGTGAGCTTCCTGTGTGTAACTTGAGGCTTTGAGCCGCCATGTGGCGCCGGGCGGGGACACCGGGACCAAAACAAAGCATCACCACCCCGCTCTTACCGGCAGCCCGTCGGCGAGGCGGATAGCCGAGTACACGGTGCCGAATCCTCCGCTGCCGAGCACCGGACCCAGCCGGTACAGCTTCTCAAAGGACTGCTTCTCCGTTTTAGCTGAAAAAAATAAATAAAAATAAAGAGTTAAATCAGTGTGCGCCAAAATGTTCAACCCCTCATTAAATAAAAAACCAGCGTCTCAGCCGATGTGCTACGTTGTCCTTTATTTCTAGAATGAATACACACGATTAACATGATTAATTACCAGCGAAAAACTAACAAAAACACCGAATAAACACGGTCACACACCGAATAAACACGGTCACACACAGCCCACTGTCCTCACATGACCCCCGTTGTTCTTCCGTGAGCCGTTTAAAAATGGAGGGTGCACAATAGCAAAATCATCTCCACCGACACAAACCACACCAAATAAACACACAGACTACCAACATGCAGCTTTTATTTACAGAAAGTTTTAAACATTTTGACACCAAAACTGGCCTTTAAAGTGGTCCCACGTCGTGTTATTTAAACGGTCATGCAGTAAAAAGACTTGAAATGTGTGAATTTAAACGATTATTTAAATTATTTAGTCAAATATATCAAACGTAAGCTGTCTCCGCCTCTACAGTAGTACATGTTATTATTACCCCGTTTTAATCACTAGTTTGAAAAGAGGTGTTACGCTGTATTTTGTGACCCTCCTGATTGTTTGTCCTGACTTGACCCAGCTTGGGGTTTTTTATTTGGCAATGCATCCCTCTTGGGATTAACTAAGGATACACAATCAGGTCACAGGAGATGGTAAAACACCCGCGTGTTGTCGTTATCACAGTTTTTCTTACCTTGCTGGAGATGGAGCTTCGCCGGTAGCTCCATGCTTGATGAAATGTGAGACAACGAGTCCAGCTTGGAGAGCAGCATGCTGCTCGTGATTCCTCCCCAAAGATCTTAAGAAAAAAAAATAGGCCTACACACGTAATAAAATCCAAAATGGCAAAACTAGTCCGTTAGCTGTTCTTACGGGTGAAATAAGACACAAGCACGGTAAAAATCCATCGGTATGCCGCCGGTAATTCACACAGGAGATCGATCAAATCGTCCCTGCAGCATCTACAGAAGCGCGCCACTCTGCCTCCCCCTCCGCCGCTGCCAATATTTACAAATATTAGATAGATCCTTCCGCCCACGTTTTACATAAAGTAAAGCCTCAACAGTTCCCTCTCACACCCGCGCTGACTCGCCCAGATTAATTTTGGTGTGCCAATGACTCGTCTGTGTTTTTTTTTAACGTGATGATGTGGAAACGAGCCCTAAACGCAAGAGAAAACAACACGGACTACTTTAACGTAGTAGGACAGGCGCAAGGATCCAGGGAGAGCGCAACAGCGCTGCGGCTCGTCAGCCAGTAACATTTACAGTCTATGGTCTAGATCAGGGGTTCTCAACCTTTTTTGGCCTTTTAGAATTTCTTCCAGCCAAGTACCCCCTTGTCCGACCAAGAACATTTTTCAGGAAATCATTTGGGGAAAGAACATGAATAAATAGATGTATGTGGATCACAAGTTGGAAATAGTTCCCTATTTGATGTTACATAGAGAATATATGCTGTTAATTCATTTGTTTTTAATCAGTGAATGGATTTTCCTAAAATCATTATATTGGTTTGTTGTGGTCCAACTTTTTCAACAACATCATCTTCATCATTTTAATTATAACCTCTATCCAGATAAACAAAATGAAGCATGCTTTGTTGTAGGCTAAATGTTGCGTTTTATAACCTTTTGGCAATGCAGTCGATTTTGTGCCTTGGAAGCATCATCACTTGATTTGTTGGTAATTATATGAAGCAAAAAGGTATTTATTACACTTATTAAATGAAACAGGGTGTTAGAATAATCAGAGTCTTACATTTCAAGCAGAAATCAGGAATCAGGAATTATTAATATAAATACAGTCCTGCCTTTAAATCACCATACTGCTGTTATTGTAAAGTTGATGTTCATTTTAATACTTATACTCCTAGTTATTCATTATAAACCAAAATAATGCATAATGCATAATGTTTCCTGTTTTTGTTTTTATTATTAGAACCTGCAAAGCTGGGATATTGGTGTAAAGCATGTAAAATGTGTATTTTTCTCTTTTAAGCTTACTATAAAGTGTATATAAATCCATTACAAACCAGATTTGAATTCCTTTTTTCATGCGTTTGTTCAGTGAAATAGGACTTGTGTGACACACAATTTTTTTTTAATGGACTTTGAGTTGTAACAGTAAAGAAGGAAGTTGACCCTCACATCACGTGATCCGACTCTGATAACCTGATTAACGTCGTCCACAGACACACACGCTCGTCAATCACTGAGTTAAAGCTCTGGTTCCTGGCTTCAGTCCCAGTCTGACGCCTAGAGGTTGTGGAGGGCGTCGGCCTCTGAGCCGTGTCCCTGCCTGACCCAGGCCTCCCTTTTATTCTGGGTCGGATTTAACATCGCTGCCTGCTGATGGCTTCCCGCTCAACCCTTCGGTGCCTGGCTCTGCCTGCCGTTCCCCTCTATCATCATCATCATCATCAGAGGAAACAGAGGCTGCTGCAGGAAACAGAAGCGCCTCTTGAGGATGAACACTGGAACTCACATAGAGACAGCAGCACAGACACACAGGGAGACTGGATACGGTTCATCTGATTTAATTATCAAATACATCCTTATAATAAGCTATAAGAGAGGGCACATAAATCATAAGCCATACAGATTTTAGTTTTTCTCCTGAATTCCCCCTCTGTCGTATTCTGTCCTTCTGTACCACAATGTCATTTGAATTGCCCGGACATGTAACCTTGATATCTTAAAGGAAACTGCTTCGTCATGTTTTCAGGTCATCACTGTGTTCTTCTCCGCTCTTTTGTCAAAATTGTTAATGTCAGCGTTGATATAAAGGCCATTTTTTTTAAGACAGAGGTTTAAAAGAAACATGCAACTTTGTCATAATTTGTAATAAAATTTTAGTTTCTAGCCACATATTTTCCTGGGAGCTCCTGAGCTCTCATGTCTTGTAGGTTCCTCTGGATCGTTGGTGAGGACAGCCTGCTGCTCTGGACCCCCCCGTCACCCTTCTGTGTCAGTGTGTTAGAAGCCCAGAGTCCCTTGACTCTCGAGTAGACGGAGCTGCCCCATCCTTCAGCGAGGTGATCTGACACAACTACCACCCAACGTCACTCTCGGACTGTGTTGTCCCCACAACCACTAACGTCCTCTTTCATGTACGGCCTGCTCCGACCTCCACCTTAATGGCAAGGAAGTGTGGACAACAGGAACGCGAGGAATGCAAAGGAGAAATCCTTTCTGCATATTATCCCATCTCCCATATCCCATTTTTCTTAACAATGAGTAAGATCTTTTACCCGCTCTTTTGTAAAGCGTCTCGAGATAACACTGATGTGAATTGGCGCTAAACAAATAATGATTGATAATGGTTTGTTTTTCACAGGAGAAACAAACCTTTAAGCAAAGCATTGCAAACATCAGTGTTGACAGACATAATGGTCAAAACTACAAAGACCCAAAGCAGTGCTAAACCATCGTTTTCATTTGTATTTATTAAAAGAAAGGTGGGTAGAAAAGAAAAGCTGGAGTGTAAAAAAACAATCACAAAGAAAATTAAATTATTCCTTTAGCATGAGATTGTCTGGCAGCTGCAGCATGAACGTCCACACAGATCCACTTCTGGGGAAACCCTTCATCTGCCGTCGGGGTTTCCAGGTTTTCCCATCGACGACGTACTCCAGAGTCATGCTCCTGTTGAGCGTGAACACGGAGTCGCCTCTCACCACCGCTGTGAACAGAGAGCCTTTGCTGTTGGCGAAGTGTCCGGGCAGAGTCGACCACTGACCTGAACTCAGACTGTAACAGTCCATCAGGCATCTCAGGAAGTCGTCCGACGGCCCATTTCGCATGATGTACAGGTTGTCTCTGTGGCCGACCATGCAGTGGCCGTAGCTCTGTTTTCTGATCAGCGTGGTCACAAGCCGCCACTCGTCTCTTCTGGAGATGTACTCGTAGATCTCTGTTGTCTCCATCGGCTTCCATAGACACACAAATATCCTGCTCAGGGCTTTGGTGCACGCCGCTCCCGCTGCAGGTCGAGGTAAGTGTGCCGCAAATTCCCACTGTCCAGTCTTTACATCGTAGGTCTCCACGGATGACATCACTGTTCGCTCGCATTCTCCTCCAATGGCATAAAGACGACCGTCCGCACCGACAAGGCTCAGGTTATATCGAAGTTGTGCTGGACTTGAGAACCTGCTCCAGATGTTTTCTTTAACATTGTAGCAGAAACATGCATCCACCACTTGGTTGTGAAGTCTGTGAACTCCTCCGACGATGAAGAGTTTGTTGTCTAGAACAGTCACTCCCGCCATGGAGGTGCTGGCCTGAAGCGGAAGATCTGTTAACACCTTCCAGTTATTGCCAGATTCGTCCAGGTAGCACACCGTCCTGGAGGCAGCGTGGACGGTTTCATCCCCAGCGCAGGTCACATGGGCCCCAACAGCCACGAAAACACTCGGGGTCAAAGACTCCACGTAGGAGATCAGCTCAGAAGGTAAGGATTTCCTCACCTCCACCTCCAGGTCGGCGTACATGTTTCTGATAAACAGCGCAGCAGCGTGGTAAAGCTCCATCAGTCCGAAGGTTGCAGAAGTGTGAAACATCAGCAAGCAGTTTTCTGAGTCAATGAGGTTGATGAGATGCTTGGCGAGCAACGACACTTGCAGGAAAGCAGCACATTCAATGGCTTCTACGATATCGTCGCCATCCAGGGCGGGCTTCTCCCCTCGTAACACCGCCATTGCAAGAAAGAAGCCCCGAGCACGCAGAGACTTGAGGTGGATTTCTTCCTGCTGACACTCCTTCATCCCTGAGCGATACAGAGCTCTGAAATAGTCACAACTCTGAACAAGTAACATCTTTTCCTCGGAGAAGTGAGTGTCTCCCACCACAATGGTTAGTTTGGCCGAGATAAGACCAGAGGCACAACATGGCAAATATCTTCCAGCACTGTCACAGCTGCTGCCCTCCTCTGCGTCTCTGCTGTTTGCTGACATTAATCTTCTCTGGCCGTGTCAAATATCCTCCATGAAAATCACACGACACGTTTCCCGAAAGTTGCAAAGCGGAGCTGGAGAGGAGTGACTCTAGACGAAGCCGCTTCACTCTTCAGGGGGGGTTCAGTTGTTTCACAGCTTTCAAAATAGACGCAGCTAAATATGGAACAGAACAAATGACCTGTGTCACATTCATGTTGGTGACAGGAAGGGTGGTGATATCTGCTGCTGCAAACTTGAAATGGAGATATGGTCAATTCAAAGATTTATTTTTTGGCTTTTTGTGCCTTTATTGGAGAGATAGGACAGTGGATAGAGTCGGAAATCAGCGAGAGAGAGATTGGGGAATGTCATGCGGGTAAGAAGTCACAGGTCTGATTTGAGCCTTGGCTGCCTGCTTGGAGGGCTATGGCCTCCATACATAGGGCGCGCGCACTAACCACTGCGCACGCATAAGAGGTAAGGTAGAGACCCATTTGTTTTGTTTTGGGTCCTCAATAACCAGGTACAAAAGTTTTTTCATGCTCCTGTAAATCCAAAAAAAATTGTGTGCCCTATATATCAGCTTGAGAACAACATGAAAGGCGTTGATTAAGTTTAGACATGTGCAACATTTGTAATTTAGAAGAAATCAAGTTTATCCTGTGTAAATATCCATCTGAATCATGACTGTCTACAATGAGTGAGAATTGCTCTTCTTCTTTACGACATCTCTATGGTCTTGATACGCATGTATGTGCACACCTATGGATGTACATGTGTACGTACGTGTGTATGTGTATGTATATGTGTATATATATATTTATTACCATCACCTCTCTTTTTATGATGGTCACATTATTACATTTATATAATTTTATCTTCTCTCCATTAATGTTTACATGCATATATACTATATATTTTTGTTTGTTTTCTCGCTACTTCCCAAAATTCCGCACTTTAATGCATTACGCTGCCAGGAACACATTTCGCACCTTTCTAACACATTACCTGAACATAAAAATCATTGCTTGACTCTCATGTCATTTAAATTAATTTTGTCTGTATTGTCGCTCTGTATCTTTGCTTATGTTTCGCTATTTTGTATCTATTTTTATTTTTATTTTTTGTCTTTGTTTGTTTGTTCTCGCTTTAGTTGTCATGTCTATATATTCTTGTTTCATTTTGTTCACCTTATCACCAAGAACAAAAAATAAAAATATAATGTGTGAGAAGCTCGAGTCCCACCGGCTGTGTTGTTGTCAGAGCCGTGTTTACATGGACGAGATGGCTGGCTCCTCCCCTTGCATATTATAGCTGTTTTAGTTAAGAAAAAAAGAATAACATATAGCCTACTCACTCCTTATTTGGATGCCACAAGAGCATTTTTAGATCAAGATTATTCAAATGTGAAGCTACGAGCTAACTAAAGAGCGCTAACATTAGCATGCTAACACAACAATGCAGGCCACAGGTGATCGCAGCTCAAGTCAAGGAGAAATTTGTCTGCCGCTTTCGCTAAACTACTTTGTGCAAACAGAAGAGGAGGAGGGTTGGAGGTGTGTCACTGAAGGAGATCAGAGCCTTTTAATACGACAGAGGTGCAGCCAAACAGCGATTTCTTTTGGTTTACTGCAAATAAAAAGTCGAGCTGAAGAGCTCTCTGTTACTGGTATCAAAATACATCTTTATCTAACAGTCGAAAGTCCATCTCTGTCGAGACATGTTTGTAATAGTGTCCAACACTTTGACTAATAATCTGAGACTATCAGTGACAAAAACAAGCACTTAAAGTGATTACTTTAAAGGCTTTATATGCGATTTTTTGATCCAGCAGATGTCGACCTTGAACACCAGCATGAAACCAAAACAACTCGGGGTGCATAGTTGTATTAGCATGCTAATGCTAGCGATCTTTATTATGCCTGTATCGTCACACTGCATGTAAATTTACCCGAAATGAGCGTGATCTAGAAACGCAGTTAAGCTGTGAGTACAGTATGTTCTTCTTCTTTTCTCTAGTCCCTCCATTAAACAACTTTTATTCGCGAGGGGAGGAGTCAGCCGGCCATCCAGGCGATGTAAACAAACTGAAGATAGGACTCTGAAAACATCACAGACAGTGGGACTCGGGTGTGACACCCATGTAGACAGTCATTACTCAGAGTTATTTTCAGAGGATATACTTGATTTCTATTACATTTAAGTGTGAAAAATCGCATATAAAGCCTTTGAACAGGTTGATTTGCCTCAAAGGATTACATTGCTACCATAACAACCAGTCTTCAACTGCTGGCTGAAGTGATGTAAAGCTGTTTTCCCATTTGCTCTCCTGAAAATATCTAGATAATTTCAGGAGGACTGCTCCAGAGATTCTCCTGACCTGGCTGTTCACATATGCTCCTCACAGCTGGAGACTATCCCTGACAGACTGGAGGGGGGGCGGGGGTCTCCTGAGGTAAGACATGAAAAAAAAAACAAGGGGGATAGAGGATGGGGCAACAGACTCAGCGATACATTTCTATAATGACAATATTTGCCTTTATACAAATGCAATGCATAGTTGCGATATCAACAAAAGAGTGGAGAACAGAAAACATAATGCAGCCTTTAATTAGAGCACAGAGATCATAGTGGTCGCAGGATATAAACGTCACTCCTCCTCCTATTGGCTCGAGCTGAATTGTCCTGATAATATCCTGCTGCGTTCTCTCATCAGCTCACTCAGACTTGCTGCAGAAAAAATACTAGGAAATATGTCCTGTTTTCATAATTAAACTTTAAAGGGAAGTTTAGCCAAAACATGATGTTGTGTAAGGACTATAGCTCGGTGATGTAAAGAGTTAAAAAACAAGCTTTAATCTCTAATCTCCTGATCGTCATTTGAGTGGATGTCAGTTCAGATCACTTTAGAGATGTTTGTCTCCAGAGAACAACAGCAGCTCTTCTGATCGTGTCCTTAAATCTGCTTTCTGTTGATCTATCTTTACATTCACTTACAGTGCGAGGAGGAGGGGCTGACCTACATATCCACTCTGTGGGGTCATAACATAGACCGCTGCCTCCTTAGTCAAAACAATCCCCACCGGCCAAATTAAGCAGTTTGAGAAGGGATTTGATCTTTCTGTATGGCTGCTGTACAGTCGTGTAAAGATTTACTGAAAACCAGCAGAATAGCACAGGAAGTGATTAGCTGGTGAACAAAGAGGGACATTAAACATCTTAAGAAACAGACACCACCCTGAGTAGGTGGTGGAGACCAAAAGCAGAGCCAAAAGAGAGGGAATATATTCTTTGCATTCATCATATGGACACAAACACGACTCCAGATGAACGTTGTTGAGGCCTATGCCACCCCTGGCCGCCCCTCTGGACCATAGACTAAATATTAGTGGACACATGCCCTAATAAGGTAACAAATAATGGAAATGAAATAGCTAATAAGCTACCTCACGTGATCAAGAGATCTGATTGGTCATCAGGCAGAGTTTCAAACAGGTTGAACTCTTACCCCAAACATAACCTGCTCTGGAGCCGGTTAGGTGTGTAGCTGAAGTTACCATGGTGATCTACCCAGATAAGACGTGAACCACCTTCATAGTCCTGAAAACCTCAAGTTAACCCTGAAGTTCATAGTACCGACCCAAGGATTCAGTTGAGCACAAAGCATGATGGGAAATGAGGCATGCCAGGCCTTCAATGACATGTAGTTTCATCATGTGGTTGTACAAAAACACATTCTGCTGAGCTGACCGTTCATTTTCACTGTGTTCACCAGACAAAGTAGTATCCCAGTTTCATATCATAACAGAGAATTGCACCAGGCTAACTAAGCTTGGTTAGCTTGGCGCTGTTTGATGGTCCTCTGCAGCTCCAGCCGAGTTTCTCACAGGTGAGCTGGCGGCCTGTAACGGCCCATCCCAAGAGCAGAGAGCAGGAGGAGGAGATTTTCCACAATGTGAATGGTTACCACTGAGAACAGAAAGTACAAAAAGGACATGGACAGAGAGTGATGTTAAGAGGATTCTGTACCCGCATAAATAAGCTCCACAAAGGTCAAGCGTTCTCCGTATTTGTCTTAGGACAGATCAATTTAAAGCTTTAATTCCTCCCGAAGCTCTCGGAGACGTCCAGCCTCTGCAAGCTGGATCTCTGTTTGTGTCTTAGTTCTTTGCCTCAGGCTTTACAAGAGGACACGAGGCAGTTTAGAAAAAAAACAAAGGACTTATTTTTAGTTTTAAAAGAAATCCCAGTGAGCAGCTAACAGGCTAACTTGTCTTTTTTTTGACTGCAGGCTGAGGTCAGTGATCTCTGTGTGGACACGCAGAGCGTTTAAATCCAACCAGCTCTGCAGTGGAGACTAGGTCAGTCTAAATAAAGACTTTACACACACACGCACACTGTTGGCATGAAGGATGAAAGGGTGATGTCATCATTGCTGTGGCGTCGTTGACCTCGGGGCGACCTCTGATCATCACCATGACATCTGAGTTATTCAGAGGAGCTTGACCCTCACTGCTCTGCTGTGAATGTTAAACAATTAAAACTTTTAATTAAAACTCATCAAAACATCATTAATCACTCCTTTATACACCCCTTAATGTACCTCAGAATCTTTGATAGATTGTTTTTATCATAAGCTCAAAAAGTTCTCTAAATTTTTACTATTTTATTTGTTAGAGAAACTCAAGAAGCTCTGAAGAAGACAAAAGCAGTAATTAACTTTAAAGGGGTGCATGACTTTTTCCTCAATTTACGTACATAGAAGAATTCTGCTCTTTTCAGCAACATCATTAAACCCATTTTATAAACTGGCTAAATAGATTTATTACGTATTTTATGTATTTTACACCAATTTTACAGATTTTCAAAAAGATGAAAAAACCAAGGTAGCCTACTCTTCTGAAAAAGTAAAAAGACTTAAATTGGCTATTACATCATAAAAAAATGTTTAAAACAAGGCAAGTAAGGGGGTGCTGGTGGCCTGGTGGTTGGTGTGTGCGCCCCATGTGTGGAGGCTA